GAGTTGTAAAACAAATTATTCCTGTCAATGAAAAGTAATTAAAAGAAATGAACCACTACTAACCTTACCAAAATAGATGATATGGTGGGATTTTCATTAGTTAAGAGAAAGAATGTGATATTTCATCAAGATACTGCTAGACTTCATTCTTCCTTGCTAATCAAGCAAAAATTGTTATAGTTAAGTCAAGAAGTTTTCACTTATATACTGTACTTGTGATTACACATTTGGATTGCTATTTATTTTGTTATTTGCAGACATTTCTTAATAAAAAAAATTCAATTCTTTGGAAGACTGTAAAAAGCACAGAGTAATTCTTTGTGCTTTGAAGATAAAATATTCTGGAAGGATTAAATTATAAAGTTGCTTGGGGGGGTGGCAAAAAATAAACAAGATGGTGAACATTTTGTTCTATAGCATTAATGTTAAAAGAATTAACAAATTGTCCTTTATTTTTATTTAAAAAAACTGAACTGAATTAACTTTTTTACTTTACCCAATATTTCATTTATTAGGTCAGGAAAAAATTTCATAACATTTTTAAATGAATTTCAAAAACAATATTTAGATATCTCTACATAGATTTATTCAACCACATATGTCTCATTTTGTTTTACAATCTTTCACCCTCTTTGAGACTACTTCATAATTGTCCTCTGAGAAGTAAGCATCTTTCTGAGTGATGAACTGGTCTAAATAGTTTTTACAGGATTTCAGAGAATTAACGTTCCTTTCATTAAGAGAATTTTATAGTGTCTCAAATTAAGTGGTAATCAGAAAGTGCAGGTATAACAGGTGTAGTTGGACATCTCAGCCATGCTGTACCAATTTCTGCTGGATCTACAAAGTCATGTGAGATCTGGTGTTGTCTTTATGGAAGATGACACTTTTTTGACTGGCCAATTCCAGACTCTCTTCATTAATTGTTGCCTTAATTGCAGTCCAATTGTGAGCAGTACTTGTCTGAATTCAACAGCTGACTTTATGGAAGGAGTTCATAATACACAAGCAGATACACAGTATCACTTTTGGATTTCAAACTGGCTTTTGGGCTGATTAACAGCTCATTTTATTTTTCCTAGAATCTTTTTTGTTCCACATTATTGTAAACAATCCATTCTTCATCACTTGTGATTGTTCTTCATAAAAATGAGTTGTTTTTGTTGTTGCATTTAAGCAAAGAATCACAGATGGAAATTGTGAGGCATCCAAGCATCATTGTGATATGCATATCCAGCTGTTTCCAAATGCCTAACAACACTCGAGATATGTGGAGTATCTTTGTTGTCCAGTGTCCTGTAACCTGGATTATTTTTAATCAGTATTTCAATTTAGTCATCAATGACTGCAGGCTTGTTGGAATGTTCTTAGTCTTCTAGATCAAAATTTCCACTTCTGAACATAGAAAACTGCTTACAAACAATGCTCTCAGCTATAGTGTCATCTCTATAAATATCTTTTTTGCTGTTTGTACAGGAAACAGTGGAAGAAGAGCATCAAATGATTAAAATGCATCCTATTTTCATCTGTAACATAAAAACATTTAAAATTCACAAAAAAATGCCACAAAAATATATAGAAAGACACATTGAAATGTCACCCTTTGAAATATCTATTTATGTCAAATTTCAGTCACATGTGAAATTAAATAGTGTTTAGACACCACATATTCAAAAATGCTACAAACTTTTGTTCTAACCTAATATTTACAGAAGATGTTTTTTTCCCTATGTTTTTGGCATGGTTAATAATTTGATTGAAACATTCAAGATTTTGACTGTATTTACAGATATCTGATTATAGAAATAGTAAAATTTAATCAAACATCACAAGAAATCTCATTTTCATTACTTCTCTCAGCAGTCATTAACAACTGTAATAAACTTTATAAGAAATTTGTGCAAAAGCAGTTAAAGAATATAAGCATGTATTAGAAGAAACAAAATAGAGAAGAGAACATATATTGGCTAACAGATCTCCTGTCCTTTTATGGTAAAAAGTTTTGCTGTCTACAATGTTTTCTATTCTTTTATGTTTTAAAATATATACACATATTTTTTACCATCTTATGGCTGGAAACTTTTTACAATTGTAAACTTTACATATTGCTGAGAATATGTATTCTATAGCTGGAAACAGACAAAAAAACCTTTGAAACATCCTTCTCTCTTTAATTAGTAGAAAGGTGAGGTCATTTTAATTTTATTGAATATATTTAAGAACTGCCAGCTGATGCAATTGTAGAAATAACTAAGAAATAAACTACTATGGTTATTATTAACAACAACAAGGTTAAAATATCTTCTTTTTCACTTCAAAATATCTTCTTTTTCACTTCAAAGTATGTTCTTTCAAAAGGCATAATATCAGTAAATTTCCAAACCTATGTTATTGAAGTTCTGTGTGTAAAGAATTTCATGCATATAAAACAGTCATTTTTATATATTATCCACTATAAAAAAAATAAAAAATAAACTCTACCTGATGAAAATATAGCCATAAATCATATTTCTTGTATGTCTATTTTTATTTCTTATAAAGATGAATGTACCAGTTGTCTAATGTGAAAATATTTCTTAGCAAACAAATATTTTAAGCGGCTTATCTACCTTGAAGCAAGTAACATAAGTTAAAATATTCAAAAAATAGTCTGAATTTTATTTAAATCATCATGGTTGGATATAAACTGTTTGATAAAGATTTATTTTCAAGTTAATATAAATGATTTCACTTCTATTGGCAAAAAAAGTAATTTCAATATTTTTGTCTTTAATTTTATTTTTCATTTTTTTAGATCAACAGTATAAAATAGATCTTAGAAATGATTATCTACAAAGTTCATGTAAGTATTATAAAATGCAATAAGTAATTACTTCAAAGGATTATTTTACTCAACAGTTACTTTATATAGGGTTAAAGAAGATTAACCTTTGTATAAAAGATGATTTTGACACTCAACAAACTCTGATGAATGTTCTGATTGTTGTCTTTTGACTCAGCTGACGATTTCTAGAATATTGTTATCTAGGTTTTGACTATATGTGTAGATTATTTCAAGTTTAATTAGCCTTTTAAGCTTGATTTGTTAGACAATTTAGAACAATAAAAGATATGATCTTGATAAGTATATTAAAATAATAAACTCTAGCTTGTAAAGTTATAGATTCATTCTGGAATATATTGAATTCTGATAAGTCAACCTAAATACAGAATCATTGCTGTGTGTGTGTGTATATATATATATATATATATATATATAAATGTATATGTGTGTGTGGTAGGTCAAAAGTAGTTATACACTTGACACATTTTTTTTAACTTATCTTATTTTCTTCATTCATAGATATCCGAGAATGTACAGATTTGGTGCATTAACTACTGAACCCATTTTTTAAATTTATCTTTTATACAATAAATTGTCTGCCGTGTTGGTGGAACAGTGTCAAATGTTTCTATTCGTGTTTTGTACACCTGCTTGGCATTTTCAATCTTCCAATACTGCATTAGAGTCCACTTTTTTTGTTCTCAGCTTAAATTATTTACCATTATTCACAATACCTGTAAAAAAAATAAAATTTGTGTCAGTATATAAATAATTAAACAAGTGTATACCTACTTTGTTTGTGTGTGGAAAAAAAAAAAAAAAAAAAAATTCACATACAACTACAATATATCTGTAAAAAGACAATAAAATTTACTAGCATGGTGCCTGTAAAAAAACGAAAATAATTACAGGATTATATATGGATCAGCACTTCTTGCTGTTAGTCTCTGTGCACTCTACCTAGTATCAAAGTTTTCATTCAATTCTTGATTCTCTGCACTCGTGTTTAGGATTATTATAATGCCTGTGTGCTATGTGAAATGTTACACACAGACATGCACACACACAGCCTCTGTCAACTGTCTATCTGTTCCTTTCCACAAGACAACAGAATTTGGAAAAACAAGGATGAGGAGGAAAAGAAAATGAAGAAATAGGGAAGGGATGGAAGCAAAAGAAAACAGACTGACAGGATATTTTTAAATTGGGTGACACTTTAATATTTCTTTTGGATCGTGACATACCACATACCTAACATGAAGGTAGTTAGATACTATGTTAAAATATAGATTCTTTAAAAAATATAAATAAATGATCATGTTATTTTGTAACTAAGCTTTGTAAAGTCTAACACTAAACTATAATGAAGTCAAAGCAAATGCATTACTATCATATTATATCACCACTAGATGTAATTTTTTAAAGCTACATCTTTTGTTACTTGAATAACTTTAGATTGAGCAGTCATTTTAAGCTTTCAAGAAGTTTTTTCTAAACCTCTTGTCAAATGATTGAGATGAATAAAATGCTGCCTTCATTACAAAATAAACATAAATCTTTTTATAAGCTATCTGTACAAATTTTAATAAACATACAATAATGAAATAAATGATTTTTAATACATCACTAGCAACTTAGGTATTCTACTCAGTATATGTATTCAGTTGATAAATGGTATTAATATCTAATTCATAAAATGCAGAGAATGCATAAATAAAAACTTATAAGTTATCACAATTGGGCTTTAAAACCAAATAAATCAGCCTAGTGCAGATATTTCTATATGCAGATTATATTTTCAACAATACACTTATATTTGTACAAACAGAACTGGTTGTAGGTCAAATTTTGTAACTGAATTAATGTCTGTACAATTATGCATGAATTATTTAATGAAATTATTTTTTTTCATTGATGCAAAAATGTTTTGTAATGTACATTGCAAACAATCATTTGCATCCCTGTTTATCATTATCACAAAAAATCTTAATATTGGTATTTTCTGATAAAACTATAGGATTATATGGTTTAAAAAATGTTTGATTAGTTTTTCCCTTTTTCATGTTTGCTTTTAAATATTTTTTTAAATTAACCAAGTTACAAAATTATTTCATTGCATGATAAATTTGTCATTGTATTCAGTGGTGTAATATTTTTTTTTTATTTACCTATGTAGGTGCTGCAAACACTCCAGACAGTGGAAAAGTTGCCAGAAAACGTAAAATTGGTTCAGGACGAGAGTAAGTGATTTTTTTTGTACTTATTTCATATGTATATGATATATATGTAAAATATATCAAGTTTTGTGAAATCCAGTGTTGATCTTTCTCATTGAAACTCTTACTAATGATAATTATCTGGTTTATAATCCCGACTTCATTAATCCCTAAAGGTATTCATATAATACTAAAAATTGTAATGGAATAAAGAATTGTAAAATCATTTTATTTTTATTTTTGTTAGATATTTAGTAAAAGAGTGAAATATATGTCAATAAGAAATATTTTTGCACAATCTGAATGAGCATTATTTTGCAGAAATATATTCTATGGCCTAAATTTTTAGTTGTGATCTGTACCACTTGAAAAAAATGTCTTGTCCAATAAATTACAATAATTCTCTGCATTTATCTTGAACCATTATCAACTTTGAAGGTATCTATAATTTTACTGCCTATAATACTATCCCCAAACATTATTCCACCTGCCCACTGTTGCTTTCTAAGTCATATTGGTTGACTGTCACCATGAAGGACTCAACCTGTGACCTAGCCATCAACTTCATTTAATTTAGCTTTACATTAATTGCTAAAAATTATTGTTGAGAAATTAGTTTTCATGTACTTCTCTACTTACATTTATCTCTGTGATATTTACTTTAAGCTGATAGTTTGGTTGCTTTTTTGTCTTTAGCCATATGTGTTTAAATATGCAGCTTAACAAATATTTAGTTTCTAAAAAATATACTTCCTTTTATAAATATCAAATTAAAAGCAAATTGATGAAATTAAGAGTTAAATGATTATTTTAAGTTGGAGATCAAAAGTTATGGAATACATAAATTTCACAAATATATTTTTGAAATTTCTATATTAAGTTAGGCCTAAATTCCATCACAAATGAAAATAAAGTGCAAATACTGCTATCTTGGCTGTTGATTCCTTTATTTTGATCTCATGAGTATAATATAGTCTTTGTGCCTTTATTTTACCTGCTTTGAGAAAACAGCACCAGATTATAATATGTAGGATGAAAAACTGGTCATAAATTAGAACCACCTCATTGCATATCTTCCACCAGTAAAGTAAAAATAAAGATTTTAAATGGTGATTTTTCAAGACAAGGGGATCTCCATTTCAAAAATTGAGTATATTTCTTCCATTCATTTAGCTTTTGCTAAACTAAACTAAGTTTAATACTTCTATATTATAAAAGAAGTGCTGATTTTCTGTCCCTCATACACTGTCTTGCCTTTTGTCTTTGCATATGCTTATGTAATGTATATACATATGCCTGTGTTATGAGTGACTTACATATGCTTATGCCATTTAATATATACATAAACACAAATATATGCACACAATTTGACTAAGTTTTTTTTTTTTATTTTACATAATATTTTCACATAAGCAAACTTGCATATGCATACAATTTGATTGAAACTGACATCTCTGACACAGGCTAATTTCCCTATTTCCGGCAACAATCCTTACATTATCAGGCAAAGAGTATAAGCCTAAACATCTGGCCCTTTGAAGTCATTTTTCTGATTCCTTCTGTCTTTAAACTGACTATAATTTCTAATAAATTTATTATTTTAATCAGACAAGCAATTTAGATTTGAAATTTGATAATGTTAGTCTTAGCAAAGTGACAGGTACTAGTATATATTCAATTTCAAATCTTACAGTAGCTGTGAAAGAAAATATTTTTAAAATATTTCAGAAGTATTTTGTTAAATTAATTTTTCTTTTCAAAGAAATTTCCACTTTGAACATTAACTTTTTAGCTTAATGTACTATACAATGCTATATTTAGTTTTCAATAACTTTAAAAATTCTGAAAATCACAATATTCCAACTTTGATTTTCTGTTAAAATGATAAAGATACCATATATTTTTTGCCTTAGTCCTGGAACTATATTGATTTTGATACTGTAACATTTCATGATGCTATTATTATTTAAACATTCAATTTTAAAGAAAATTTGTTATTAATATAAATTTCTTAATCACTAAATTTTCAGTGCCTCTTAACTTTTGAAAATATTTTCTGAAAAATATATAAATATTTTAGTATTTATGTGAAATGAATCTTACAATAATAATTAATTAGCTGGTCAGTATTCTGTTAGTTTTCTATTCATTTTATTTGAATCCTTATATTTTAGAGTTTACTGTAAACCCATTAACAAAAACAATCTAATTAATTTCTATTTTCATTACAGTCAAAAACTAAAATCCAGACTAGCCATAGGATTCTACCTCAGAGCCCTTAAAATATGTAACCCAGAATACCTAGGTGACGAAGAGATATACATTGAAAAAACATTTAGACTTCTTCACTGGCTACATTATTTCATTCTCAACACTAGAAAATGAGAATACAAAGTCCACACATTCAAAACCTAGACATTACTGATAGCACTTTGACCATCAAAAACATAAATTTATAATCCTACTCTCTAACTACAAAATTTGAAAAAAAAATTAGTTATCCCTAATACTAGGATCTTTACTACCATGACCAAGACAATTGGAGATATAATTAGAAAGAAAAATAAATCCAGCACTTACATCAGTAGCACATCTTGGAATCTAAAAGCCCATATCTACAAGCATAAAAAGAATCTATATTTGGACAACCCTTTAAACTCCACTCGTAATACACAGGAACAAAATTGGCGATAACTTTGATTTTACAAATGCTACTCTAATTAAAAAAGAACATACTTTACATTGAAAGTACTTTAAGAGCTGGTTTGTCAAACTGGTGGCCCACAGGACAAATGCGGCCTTTTACATGCATCTTGGTAACCCTCACAAAGGTTTCTATAGCCATAGTATATTGAGAATTTTGTCTGTTGGTAATGCAAATTATTAAAAAACAGTGAGATTCTTTTTTGGTATGATTAAATTGTCTATTCTATCTCAATGGTTGTTTTGTTTTCGAATGTCACTGACTATTTTTAACTTCTGGTTAATCATATCATCATCCTTGACAACTAAATAAGAACAAATGTAAAGTGAAAACATTTGTAATTTTGTAATATTTTGCCTTAAAAATGTTGAGTTCTACTCTATCTTGTAAAAAGAGAAAATTATCTGAAGAAGGATGTGTGTTTCATGAAAAGTGGGAATTACAGTACTTTTGTACCACTGCTAATGGAAAGATAGACTGATTTGCAACTACTGCATTGTGACACAAAAAGAATATAATGTGAAGAGACATTATGAAACAAACCATCGATCTTATAAATATGAAGGAGATATGTATGTTCCAAAAGTGAAGGAATTCAAGGTTAAGTTAACACAGCAACAGAATTGCTTTACAAAAATTCAGAAAAGCAACGTTAGTTCTGTTACTTCAAGCTTTGAACTCTGCAAAATGATCACCATCAGTGGAAAATCTTACAGTGAAGGAGATTTTTTCTTATAAAAACAGCTGAAATTATATGTCCAGAGAATTCACATTTATTTCAAGACATTTCATTAAGCAGGAATACTATTGCTGAATGAAATGGCAGGTGATTTGAGTCGACAGTTGAAGGCTTTATCATCAAGTTTTTAACTTTTTCCTATTGCTCTGGATGAGACTGTTAACATAGCTGCAATAGCACAGCTTGCCTTTTTCACCAGGGCTTGTTACAATGAATTTCAAATTTATGAAGAACTAATTGAACTGGTCCCAATACATGATACAACAAAACAGGACAGTTTTGAGGAAGTTGAACAGTTCCCCATAAGTATGGCCTTGATTTGAGTAAAGTTATGTGTTTATCTACTGATGGTGCTGTCAGTATGGTTGGGAGACAAAATTGTGTTGCTACCAAGTTAGTTACAAAAATAGAAAACATATATCCAGATTCAACATTCTAGCATTTTCACTGTATAATTCATCAACAGAACTTATGTTCTAAGGTTTTAAAATTAGATTATGTGTTCAGTTTTGTCACAAAAACAGTGAACTATATCAGAGGTTGTGCTCTGCATCACCGTCAGTTTAGCCAGTTATTGGAAGATGTGAATAATCAGTTCACAAATGTGCCATTCTACACAGACGTTTGGTTGATTTTATATCACAAGATACTGAAAAGATTTTTTTATTGCAACACAAAATTGTTTTTGGAGATGAAGGATCAAAGCACAGATGAATTGAAAGATGAAAGCTGGTTCCAGGATCTAGCTTTTTCAGTGGATATTACTACTTAATTTGAAATTACAAGGTAAAAATAAGCTCATCACTCAGTTATATGATGATATCAAGTGTTTCATTGCAAAATTAGCTTTATTGAAGTCCCAGTTGTCACATGAAAACCTGATTCATTTTCCTATGTGCAAGGAGTTGAAAAAACTGTCAATACTGAGTCTGTATTTATCTTTGCTAAGTACGGCAATTACCTGGAATTGCTGTCAAAGGAATTTCAGCAAAGATTGTGTTTTTTTTTGTCTTGTGAAGATCAGTTTGCATTCTCAGCACCATTCACTTTTGATGTTGCTCAGGCAGAGGAAAGTCTACAGATGGAACTACTGGAAATGCAGACTGACTCAACATTCAAGGGAAAGTACCTAGAATAGGTGGTACCTGGATTTTTCCATAACTTCCTCAGACATTTAAGAACTTCAGAAAGTTTGGCACAAAGATTATGGCAATGTTTGGTTCCACATATGGTCTGTGAGCAGTTATTTTCATTTATGACAGCCACAAAAACATCTCACAGAACCAAATTAATTGATGAACATTTGTCATCTTTGATCAAAGTGGGATCTACACAGACATTCCAACCTGATATATTGAGAATAGTTTGTCTAAAGCGATATCAATCATCAGGACAACATAAAAAATGATAAAATTGTACTACCTTGTATTATAAGCATTTTGTATTTAAAGTTTAGTTACCACTAGCTGTGATTAATGTAAGACTGTAAGCAGGTGCGGCCCTCGAGGCTGCCAATATGGCCCTCTATATGCCCTGAGTTTGACATGACTGCTTTAAGACAGTCCTGATAAATATTTTACCAACATCTCAAAAACACTATATCACATCACCAATTTTTATTGAATCATTCTTAAAGAATCTAATGTACGCTTATCTAAAACAAAGAGTGTTTACATTAAAATGTTCCCAAATCAACATGTGGACAGCCACCAAACGTTTCTACTACACACGCACACTTATGAATATACATTATCATCTGAACCCCACATAGACAAACTAGAATTATGATGCATTTACATACATAAATCAACATTTACATTTTTTTCAGTTAGGCTTGGAATCCATTCATTTCTTGGTGCTTCGAAAAGACACCTCATCTCTTCTTGAATTCAGAACTCCATAAATGATACTGAGTCAAATGCACATGAAACTTGATTCACTAATGAAAATCAAACACAAAATTAAAAATACCAGAATTTATTTCTTTTTTCTCCATATCTTATTCTCTGAAGCTTTAATAAAAGTGAAACATGTTAGATTGATAAATGTTTCCTATTTGTTCTGTATTCTGTCAATTGTTATATTCTAAATGATGTCATTGTTTTCAAAATTAATTGAAATTTCTTTCCCATGAATTTAAAATTTTACTTTTTAAATTAATTATAAAATGTTCTGTTATATAATATTTTCTTAAAATAAAATTAGCCAGTTTCAAGTTTATTATGATATAAAAATATAGTCTAAAATGTCATAAGAATTTTTATTTAGAAATTGTTAGTTAATAAATGCTTTTAGATATTGATCAAATTTAATTATTTAACCACTTCCTGGGGGGGAAAAAAATTTACTTTTTATTAAAAGAATAACATTTGTTTGTTTATTGCTGTATATATGCTGTGTTTTTTTAAATATACTAATGTTTGTACTTGTTTATTTATTTCTTTTAATCAGATTTATTTTTAATTTACTTTTCAGTTCTGACGATGATGACAGCCAACAGGGTTCTTTCTCTACTTCCCAAGATGCAATTGATAAAGAAAGATTTGCCAGGTAATTTTATTTAATACAATTTCCATCATTTTATGTTTCTCTTTCACTCTGTTCTTTATTTTTTCTGTATATGTATATAAAAAATTGTTTACATTTTTCTTTGTTATTACTAAAATTAATATACAATGCTTAATAAAATATTTAGACATTTTGTATTTTTACTCTTACTTATTCAGATTCATATTTTATGTAAAAAAAAAAAATGTATTTGATAAATTATTAAATTCTGGATGTATACTTCAAAGAAAAAATAATGAAAAGACTATATTTTTAAAGAACATATTCAGATTAAATACAATATTTGCCTACTTTTATATTAAAAAATGGACACGCTTTACTGGTTTTGAATTATTTAGCTATTTACTCTCTCTCAACAAGTGATAGCAGAATTTAGTGCTGAAAGTATTTTCAGTTTTTGTGAGTTGTGAAGAATTTCAACTTCATAATTGAAGATATATGGACAAGATTGGAAAATCATGATTTTAGTTTTGATTCTAACGAAATCACAGTTCATTGACACTAAATTGACAGGAAATACATAATGATACAAGATACCCTTTGAATTATTAATTGGAGATTCTTCTATAACAAAACCTGTAGTTTTAAATAAAAAGAAAAAGTCAATGTTATAGAAATACGTCCTAATACTTTAAGCACTAATATTTGATGCTCAAAATTTATTACAAATGTCCTTAAATCAATAATGCTTTTTTTATAAGACTATTTCTTAAGCTTATCTGATAATATCAGAGATTAATTTGAACTCTTAAAAATAATTAAAATTTTTATCAAAATCCATTATTTGTAAATTAAGAGAAATGTTTTATCACAAAAAACAATTTTTAAATTCCCATGTTAAAGCCTCTTTGCATAAGAAATATCTACACAATTCTAAGTGATTAAAAATAAAATCTAAATTTGTAAACATTAGATTTAATTTTTTCCTATCTTACTTTTTTGATTTTTATGATAAGAGCACATTATCTGATTTTTACAGTGGGTGTAAAAATTTGTGATTATTATTATAAGTTAGATTCTAAAAGGTGAATATCTTTACAGAAAATGATAATCTTCCACTTTCAATTGAAAATACTAAATTATCATTTTCATTAAAATTCATTTTTCATTTAATTTTCAGGAAAAAAACTATTAAAAGATTTCCTCTTTTTTTAAATGCTACATCCCTTCAGGATGTAGGCAATCAACGTTCTCTGCAGATTCCTTTTCTTTATTATCTATTATGAAGTGTCATAATGTCTTGAGAAAGATAATGGCATAGTTTCCCACTGATTTCTCTACAGATTGCAATTTACAGTAGTTATTTTTGGGTGAGGGATGATTCAGGCCTTCCTCAAGGGCATTAGTGCAAAAGCAAACATAACAAGCTAGGCTAGACTTTGAACTCTTCTTGCTCATTCCACTTTTCATTATGCTACCTGCACATTTAATAAAAGATTAATTGACTGTAAAAAGTTATTTTATTTTAAAACTTGATAGATAACTCTTAGAATTTTTTTTTGTTATTTTGAGATGAACTTATAGACTAGATATACATCTATAAAGAATTTTCCAAGAAATTATATATATATACTCCAGCATATAAATGACAGTAATTTTTATAGTTTGTAGCTCTATAAATAGCAAACGCTGTTATTACATATCAGAAAGGAACTAATTTATCTGTTTCAATTAAAATGCAGAAGAAATACTGTATAATCCACATAAGTGCGTCCATGCTTAAGTAGAACATTCATTAAGTGGGATGATTTTTTTTTTTTTTTTTTAACTGGTTACAAAGTTTCTACATTTAAATGGAATTGGGTATTGTGAAAATTTTGGAGGATTTGATTTTTAGTTTTTAATGTAAAAAAAGAAAAGGATAAAAGTTATCTACAAAACAGTCACATCTCCTGTCATGGGAACCATTGTGGTGAATGTATCTGTGGCTGCTGCAAAAATGTTCAGTGTGAAATTGTCTGTTTGTCATTGGAAAGTTTCTTCATTGTATGGGCTCTGAACTTTTTGAAGTATGAGTAAGTGCACTAGACTTGCCTGGATTATCAAGAACTGAATTATTCACCCTGCAATTGTTTTTTCTTCAACTACAGATGACTTCATCTCTACAGCTGATAGATGGTGTTGTACAATCATTAAATCATTAGCATGTGGGTTGTGTAAAAAAAATGATTGATAGTAATAGAGGTATAACAGTCATTTCATTATTGAAGGCCATGAAAATGCTGATCCTTTCTTGGAAGGATATATCAATCAGAAACTATTTTGAAAATGTTGGCTTCTCCAAAGAACAGGAAAAATTTTCTCAAAACTAGAGGACTTTTTTCAAAAACTGCAGAAATTCATTGAGGAGCTGTGATGTCATAATTCAGATGCAGCTCCAGATGATACTGTGGTAGAGAATGTTGTATCCAATGATGACAAAGTAATTGTTGTTCGGATGATTTTGAGTGAATTGATTTTGCGGCATGTTCAGAATGAAGGAGAAGATATCATTGTCATCATCGTTATTCTTGCTATGTTAGAAAGAGAAGTGAACAAAAGGCCATTAACATCACATACCAGAGTTGCTATTGATACTATGATGAATTACTCTATGTTCACTAATAGCAATGAAATAAGACTGAGGTCATAAAGATTTCTTAGATGGTGAAGAGTGATATCATAAAATCAGCCTCACAGCTTCATATAAAAAGCTTTTCATTTGTTTTTTTTTTTAATAGTTTGCAGTACAAATTTTTGCTCTGCTATTCTGTTATGCATGATTTATATGTCTATGTATATTGTATGTCTCTACCTCAACTTTTTTCTCTACCCTGGTTAACTAGATCTCTACCTTTATCATCATAACCCTAATGTCTTCTTTAAAGACTTAGAAATTTCAAGAATTTTTCAAAAAAGAAATTATAAAAGATGTGAATAAACACATTTTGTTTCACTACATGATATTTATTTCCATATATGCTTTCAGCTTCTGGCCATAGATATTCAAACTAATGTGGCTATATTGAATCTAAAGGTACTTTTTGATGTCTTCTAACATTCAATATGTGAGACTTTTCATTGTTTGAGCTAACAAGTCTCACTTATGTGGAACTCTTAAGTGGGGCATTTACTAAGTTGGCACATTTTCATTACCCTCTGAATGTTCCACTTATAGAGAGTATACTGTAAAAAAAAAAACAAAAAAAAAACACTGAAATAAAACATCTATATAATTAAAACTTTTTTAAAAAATTGAATTGATTATAATTCAATAATTTTAAAAAATCTGACTTGGAAATTGTCCTGAGAAAATGTTTTAGAAGTTGCCTTGGTCTATAGTATTTCATCCTGTCTCATATTTTCACACACACACACACACACACGTATATTTTAAAATATTTAGAAACTTTGTAAATTATTCAATCTAAAATTGTAAAAAAAAAAAAAAAAAAATTTTTTTTTCTTCAGACAATATTTTCTTTAATATATATTATTCTTTAAAGCAAATTAAAAGCTTTTCTGATTAAATAATGTCTTAGTTTTATTGCAATTTTTATTTGTTGATTCAGAACAGATTTTTGGTAAGACAGTGTACAATTTTGTAAAAAAAAATTTGGTGATTTTAAATTCTTCAAAGAATTCTGCTTTTAACTAATATAGTCAATGAAAATTATCACCTTGAATTTCTCAAGTTTTCATAAAATTAAATAAAGGGGTGAAACAAGTGTAAAAAACTTTTTTTTCCACAAGATTTTCTTAAATCAAAAATAATTTCATTTGTTTGTGAATAAGTCTTGAAAATTTCATTAAAACCAAACAATTATTTTATTTTTGCAAGAATTTCCAAATTAATGTATCTGTCACTACAAAAAAGAAGCAAAATGAGATCTGATAAGTTCAATAGATCTGTCCCTGATGAGCATTTCAATATGGAGCTCTTGAGTCAGTCAGTCAACAAGATAAGTCACTTGAACTTTTCTGGATTCATTGAATATTATAGCTCATTGGAATTCTTTTTGTTCTGCTAGCCTGAAAAATGTTAAATTCTCGTAATTTTCACAAGTATTTCAGTTATATTGTTATTCTATCAAGTATTCAGGTTTATAAAAAATTTAAATATTTTCTTCCAATTAAACTGAATATTGTTTGCACTTTTAACCATGTATTTTGAATTATCCCACTTTTATATCTTGATAGTATTATAACCAAGTTTTGGCTAAAAGTAAAAATAAAGTAAAAAGAATATTTAAAAATCAATCCTTTAGCTTTGTGTTTGTTATTTTCAGCTACAAGATCAATTTGGAATAATTCAAAGTTATAAATCTAATTACTTTTTTGCAAATGAATGTGAAATTTTTTCATTTTTTGAAATACAAAAAAACATTTCTAACAAATAAATTTTGACTTGACCAATTACTGTATTTGATGGCACATAAGAGTTTGGATTATTCAAAAAAAAAAATTCCCTAGGTCTTATATTCAAAGTTGAGATATCTGGTAGGTTAATGTTTACTCAAACCAATATTTGTAGCCTAACTCCATCTTACTGTAATATTAAATGCAAGAAGAGAGGATATTATATACCATCAAATACGGTAAGTAATAGATCCTAAATGAATTTTCATTCCTTTTCAATACATAAGGTTTTTTTTGTTTTTTTTCTTGAATAGCTCAAAAACTCATTATTTGTGAATAAAAACAATTATTAATAATAAAATCAAATTTAATAATAAATCAAATATAGCAAAAATGCTACTTTTATAACAATTGTATACATTGTAAATTTTATTCTTAATAGCATGTATTTTACTTGAAGACTGAATTATTCCCTTTGCAAATGAAAAATTTACAGTCTTTCTTTCTTTCTTTTTTTAACATCAGGTAACATTTCTGGAAATTCTAAGTTTACCTTTATATCAGGAAGAGGTGCTGAACAGTTTTCTATTTGATAAAACGTTTATTTTTTTTTTTGAAAGGGTTCCTATCCTTCCCCCCCAAAA